CACGACCCCCACACCACATGCCCACTGGCATGACTGGGCATGGAAGCAAACAGTACTCTCTCACAGCCAAGCAAACCCAGATTTGAGCACTGGAATTTCACTATCAACCACATTATCTGCAGTTTTAACACACTCTCACATGGGCCTTTAAGAAACCCTATTTTTTAGCTTAAACTAGGAGCCATTAATGTTTGTGCCTTCCAGAATCATTATAAAGACTATAACAGATGCAAATGCAGTTTCATATATTTCCATACATAATATTTGCATGTGCACAATAGCTGACAAGCAGTCTGGAGGAGTGAATACATCTACAGATACCTCACTGTACTAACACAGCCAGAGACCTTCAGTAACAGAGCCATACAGACCTCTCCTCGTTGTGCTCCATGTGGTTAGGGAAGGCACCGCATCCCAGCAGCAACTTCACGGCATCCAGGTATCCGTTATTACAGGACCAGTGCAGCGCCATCCTCCCCTGCACACACAGAGCACTTCATTCATTCCTCATGCCCTGCAAAATTCCCTCGTGGGCCTGCCCAATCCCGAGGCCCAAATCTGCGATCGTGAAGCAGGCGGATTGTGCCGAGAGTTCAAACCGTGCAAACATTCTGCGCATCCTGAACCCCCCACATGTGCAGTTCTTAAGACTTGTCCACCCCCTTCTGCAGCAACACATATCAGCACTGGATACATGTAATTAAATACTGAAGAACAGCCCATTAGTAAATGCTCTCCAACTTCCCTGTGCAATTTAGTACATTTCCCCTGCCTTCCTACATTCATTAGCCTATAGAAGAGTAGAAAAGTTGTTTCAACATGGGTTAACCTACATCTCCATAAATCAAACAGGATGAACTGGACAGTCTGTAAAGAAAGGTCTCTCAGCCTTGGGATTCCCAGAGGTTTCCACTGTGACGTATTGTGAAGGAAGGCTGGAGGTGAGGTGCAGTATCTCACATCAATGAGAGAGGAGCAAGTGGAAGAGAATATTCTGGGTCTCTCCATGGGCTGGACCTGTGTTTTTCTGACACAGCGTTTCTCACTCCGGTTCTTCGGACCCCCATAAACTCCTAAAGTTAAGTCTGTGAGCCAGCCTGTCCTGAATCCTTCATTTGAAAAACCCAGAGCAAGCCATGAGGCATACAAAAAGTGAAAAGGTGTGGATTTATCTAGAGTTCTGGGGTTGTGGTCAGATCATAAGTCCGGACCTCGGTTCTGATGCCAAGATCTGGAGTACCACCCTTCCCTCTGTGTTGTACACTCCATCACCGCTGTGCTGGATAGCATCGGTCTCTTCTCTATAGTCCAATGTGACACCGGGCCTGCAGGGCTCACTGTAGAATGAGCCACGCCCAGTGGGTGCCCCCTGCAGGCTCAGAGCTGTGCCACTTCCGCCAATGCTATCTCTTCTGGCCCCAGTCTGATCCACAACTCACAGGGCGTGTGCGGAGCTTTGCTTACTGGTGCCTCATTGTCCTTCAGGAGAAACCAGCAGACAATGGCTCCTGTGGTGTGCCGACAGCCCGAGGAGCAGAGCAAGGCAGAGGCGATAATGACCACTTGGTGGTCGGAGAGGAAAGGAATTCACGAGAGAGAGGCTGTTTCACATCTGGAACACGGTACCTCCTGCAGTTCACAACTTCTTCGGCCAAATCTCTGGCGTTTTAGAGAAGATTTCCAATGCTTTTTTCCTCCCCTCTTTCGATGAAACTGCCAAGTGCATACATGCCAGCAGAATGTAAGAAAGTACAATAAAACTCACCAAATAAAAGTATAACAGTAACATAACCTGACCTACGAGGGACGTAAGAAAAAGTAGGCTGTCTGTAACTCCGTACTGAAAAGATACTCATTGAAAGATAAACTTGTATTCCCCCTCCCCAATTTAAGGATATTTAAAATGTATCTATACTGTACTGTGTAAAAGTGTGTTGGGCTAATGATTTGGAATTACTGATGACTCTTATTGCAATATTTGAGAGTTTGTCTCAGGTCTTATTTGCTAGTACCAGCGGGCGAAAGCAAACTCGGCATACTACAGTATGTATTACATTGAACGTGAACGTATTTAGCCTCTCGCATACTGGACCTGGTGTGCTGATTTCTGTTGGTTTAAGGCCCAGCCTGACTCCTTGCTCAGCTCAGCTAACAAGACCACACTAGAAGACAGTGCAAGTCACCAAGACAACAGTACTTTCTTCTAGTGTGGTCTTGTTAGCTGAGCCGAGCAAAGGAGTCAGGCTGGGCCTTAAACCAACAGAAATTGCTTTCTACTTTGTGCAGTGCAGGTACTGTATATATGTCTACCAAAGGCCATGCTAAATTGATTCTTCCTACGGCAGCTTTTCCTGCCATTCCTCCCCAGGGCATCTTCTGTGTAATCATCACGCACCCCCCTGACCTCTTCACCTGACCGGACGGCTAGAGTAGAAAAGGCACAGGGTCTATAGTGTCTGCCCGCATGCTCTCAGAGGACAAGCACTGCTCCCTGTTTCACAAAGCACATCTGCTGAGGGTACAGCGGTCCGCCCATGTGATATCTTCATTGCTTTTTCAACGAGCCTTGAAAGGTTAAAAACAGACTTCAGAGATAGGGAAAAAGATAGGCCTCACATCAGAAGCGTCTCCATTACTTTGCACAAAACAAACACAGTGTTTCTGAGATGATCTGAATAATACACTGCCCTGACAAAATGTTACAGTATGGACCACTGGAGTGACACATCACATGTCGTATCTTATAATTCCTGGGGGATGTACAGTAAAGTAACAGCAAGCCAAGTCAGTGGGCTGCGATATGCTGATATGATAGATATCTGACAAGAGCCATGTGCTTTTTGTGCATTGCTGGAAGGATCATTTACAGGGGTTTTACAGGCAGTGGTGGAAAGAGTAAAAAAATGTACCCACAAGAATTTAAATTTAGGCCACTAGAAGATGCAAACATAAGAGGCAGGTGAGAGGTTTTACAAGGGGTTTTCCAAAAATAAGGCAAGTAATAGCTTCTGTGAGAATGCATTCATTCCTAGATCTGTCTGGGCATTGTGGTTCATCATGATATTAACATAATCAAAAATCGAAGAAACTGGTGTCGATCTCCTGGAGTCCTGCTGCTCAAGTGCTTCTTCATGGGGCCGAAGTGATGGAAATCATGGTGTTCCTGTTTCTCAAGGCAGGTGGTGCAGATCCTCTCACAGTGACTCTGAAAACACCTCTGGGTTTGGCTGATAGTGTGTGGCCTGGTGCTGTCATGTGGAAGACGATGCCCAGACACAGCACAGCAACCCAGGGTACTCTCAATGACCTCCTGCAAGCCGTCCAGCCTGTGAAAGTAGTGCTTCGTCTTCACAGTGCGTCACCTTAGCAGAGAAAGGACTCTCCTTACTGATGGAGTTGTTCTGAGTGTTTTTTTTTATAGCTGCAGACAACTGATATTTCCAACCACATGACAGGCTGCATGCAAGTTTTATCTCCTGTAACGGAGCCCTGCAGGGACTGAGCCCCCTTCTGGAGCAGAGAGAGCCCCAGATGGATGGGGGAACATCAGTGAACTGCTATGGCACCCCTAGATGCTCACAGGCACCATACACAGCACCCACATCTGCAGCAGAGGTCTCTCTTGATAAAGACATCTCACTACACCCACATCTGTTTCTGGTATATGACACGGGACCCTGTGGGCTGGCATATATATTTTAGCCCGTGTCATGCCCCTTTCATGTAAAAATCTACTCGTACTGCGCACCTCAGTGTCAGACTATGTTTCACCACCAGGCCAGCCATTATTAAGCTGGTATTGCAAACAGTCCTCTATAGTGACGCTGTTAATGGATAGACTGGACCGCTGAATGCTCAAAGTGGTTGGATAAATCACATCTCATGCTGTTCAGCACCGATGGAAGATCAAGGCCAACCCCTGAAGTATTAGGCCTTGTTCAGGCCTAATCGTTCAGCATCGTGGTTGGAGGTTTGCTTTCCAGATGTCAAAGCCACTGAACACAGAGCCTCAGCTGCTTGGTTTGTAGTCCCACATCTCCAGAGGCAAGTGTGACCCGCCGGTGCAGGGTTCTCAGACAAGCCTTCTAATTGAACTAATTATTGGCTCAATTTGCATGGTTTAGCAAACCGATAAAAAAAACCTATAAAACCTGCAGGAATGTGGCCCATTAGGACTGGGGAGTGTCTTGGTCCCCTGATGAATTCCAAAGAATATATTGTATAGCAGGTGGCTGTAGAGAGGTATCGTGCTGGGAAGAGAGGTGTCAACTCGATTCCTGGAGGAGCTTAATGTATTCTAGTTTTTCCTCCAATCTGAGACTTCTATTAACCTAATTACATTCTCAGCCAGACACATACAATAAGATACTTAAGGTCTCTTACAGCTGATTACTCAAAACACTTCACTAAAGACAGAGTTACAAAGCCAGCTTCACAGCTCAGTTGCAAGTATTACGCTTATGCGGTTGATTAGAGAGTTAGATCCACGATGTAACGAGCTCGGGCTGGAACAAAGCGCAGAAGACATGAGCCTCTCAAGAGCTCGCTCAGCCCTTCCATGGGGTATGGATGGTAAGGTGGTGGGGGGATAATTCTGGCTGTAAAGTTGGAGGGGGGAGATGGAGTTGGGAAATGGGGGTTACCTCTTTGTCCTGTATGTTGGGATCGGCCCTGTTCTCCATCAGCACGGCCATGCAGTTGATGTAACCCCCGTAGGCGGCGCACTGCAGCGGGGTGCGGCCGGCCAGGTCCTGGACGTTGGGGCTGATGCCATTTTCCATCAGGATCTGACACACCTCCGCGTTCCCGCCAAGGGCTGCCCAGTGCAGAGCCGTGTGGCCGTCCAGGTCTACCAAATCCACACGAGCGCCCCCTGCAGGCAGAGATAAGATACACACACACCTACAAAGACACAGCTCTCATAGACATTCCCTGCCGACGTCCACACACACAAAGGCACAATAACTGAAATCCCATCAGAAGCCTCTCAACTTTGCAGCACTTTAGAAGCCAACAGCAAAACTACAATGCTGGCCTTTAGTGCTTCTTCTTTAGCATCGGCAGGGGACGTAGAAAGGCTTGCAAAACTATTCATCGCCTTCCAAAGACGTCCCATTTTCCTGAATTACAAATGGAGTTTGTAGCAGCTTTTGCTGGTAATTAACTTCTTTCACCCATAGAAAGTGTTCAGTTTGAGCAGCCCAGTTCCTGATTACATATATTCACTCTAAAATGCTCAAATGTGTGCGTTTTACTCGTAACTGAAAAAAGGACATCCCTAGAAGGGAGCGAATGCTCCTGCAAGCCCCTGTTCACTGAAATACTGAAATACCCCAGATCAGACAATGAGGTGAGGGACGCGCGGTCTAGTGCAGATGTATGGGGGCCCGGCGGAGGGCCGTACCTTGGATGAGGGTGAGGATGACGTCGCGGTGGCCCATCTCGCAGGCGCGGAACAGGGGCGTGTGCTTCATCACGTCCAGGGCGTCCACCAGGGCCCCGCGCTCCAGCAGCAGCCGGGCCGTGCTCACGTGGCCCGAGAGAGCCGCCGCGTGCAGCGCTGCAGAGAGGCAAGCACACGCTGCTGCATGCATGGCAGGGCACCCGCAGGCCAGCGCAGGCACCCTGCTGCACAAGCCCTAGCAGACACAGCTGAGCACTGATGGAGCACATTACTACAGC